TACGACATAACATACCGCCTCCCCCACTACTATTTCCTTCCACCTCTACTACTACCACACTACCACTCCTGCCTATAATACCCATCCTGCTCTCTCTTTTCATTTAGTGTGACTTTGCGTAACTGGTCCCAAGTCGATCGAAAATGGTTGGTCGCGTAAGCTCCTCTCTTCTATGGTGCAGGTTATTTAGGTGTATTTTTTCCATGTTCACAGTGTTCAGTGCCTTTTTTGTTATTTATGGACTCCCGGACAGTTCATTAAAGCGTTATTATTCTTCCCAAAAGACCACATTTTTTTAACGTTCTCCTTCTCTTTTAAGCCCTCTTTCATGTCTATGAAGGCTGCTCTTCTATTGCTGCCTACATCAGCGTCGTAAGATATCAGCTTCGCTATTCTGTGATGAGGTGACCTGTCCTGCTAGAAACAAGTTTTGCCCACCTTCCTTCCCCACTTTTCTGAAACCCAACCCACTGGGCCACTATCCTTCCCCTGATCAGCCCATCTCCTACTTCACAGCAACACTCATCCTTTCTGTGAAGTTCTTCAGGTTGAATACGTGCCTTTCTTTACGACTCTTATTCAGTCGTCAACGCTCGCAGTGCTTCTCTTCCATCAAATCTCTAACAAACCTTCACTCTCTACCATTGCCTTTGACACTGCTCGTCACGATCTCATTTCCACAATTCATTCTCTAAATTACAGAATAAACTTCATAACGTCGTTCATGCTCAACTAGCCCTATGGTCTCTAAACATTCTACCCTTACTGACTGTGTTACACTAACCGTGTCTTCTTTTGTACCCCCACCCCCCCCTCCCCTCACTCATCTCAGTATGGCGCTTGAACTTCTTGGTTTTTGGGTCTTACTTTAACTTTGCCATTCTCCTTTCACCCCTCGGGCTGGTATTGCCCTGATTACTTTATCTTGATTCTTTTTGTCAGTCTTCAGCTTCCCGTTAATCATACCTGACTTTACACCTTCGATTGGGCGCTCGTCCTTATCCTGCTCTAGATAGCCTGTTTTTCTAAGAAACCCACCACCTTCACGCTGCCATTACCAACTTGCCCTCTCTTCTCTTACCCTTAACCCTTAAACGGTCCAAACAGATCGACTCAAATATCTGTAGTGCTACAAAAGCAGATCTACTTTTTTTTACATATTTTCAAATTAAAAAAAAAAATGTTAGATAAAAGTTTGTTCTTTCACGTATTTCAAATGTAAAACTAAAAAAGAAGATCTACATTTTTTTTTACATACTTTCAGATGTTAAAAAACGTATATATACATTTGGACCATTTTAAGGGTTAAATCCAACACCGACACAACATTGTCAAGCTGACAAAGGTTAATATTTCGGTAGTTTCCTGATCGCAAGGATTACCTTTGTAAAGCTATGTCTGCCTCTCTGACTCATGTACCTACACTCCTTTCGTTTCCAACTCCTCTTGATCGCTCAAAGAACTTTAACAATAAACCTAAGGACCTCTATCTGACCTCTGTCCTCCTGACTTTGACCCCGTCAACGTTTTCCGGTCATCTGTCCCTCTCTGCCACCTATTTCGATGGCCCTTCTCCCCCAAAACCTAAACCTGATATTCCCCTACATTCCTCTCATATCCCTCTACAGGTCTGTTTCTTATGCTCTTGCTTCTTGGCTGGCACAAAATCCCACTTCCCTTCTTGAATACTTGTTCTTTCTTCCTGACCAACCTCCATCGACTCCAGGACTTGCGATCATCATTGAACGGTTTCACTCTCTCCCACCTGTCAAATGCTTATCCTTGATGTTGAGTCCCTCATCACCAATGTCCCTCATGAAGATGTCCCTTGATTTTCTTAGAAGAAGCCGATTGAAGGTTTTCATTCTTCTCCCTATGCCTACTGATGTCTTTCTTGATCTTATCCGCCTCTGTGTGGAACTAATTCCCCTTTTCCTTCCAAGGTAAATATATTCTCAAACCTTCGGTGTGGCTATGGGGCTCTCCTCTCGTCTCCTGTCCTTGCTAATCTTTACATTGGAATACTTAGAGACAGTTTCTTACCTACTATCGATGTGCGCCTTCCACTTCTTGGCATGCTCCACTATGTTTTGATGACTCTTGCTCTGTGGGCCTCATGACTCTTGTCTCTTCCAGCCATTTCTTGATACTCTTAATAATCTTGCCCCTTCCATTAAGTTTAAAGCTGAATGAGAAATCTAACTCCTTGCTTACTTTTCTTGATGTTCATGTCCACCGCTCAGACACAGGTTTTTGCCTTTCCGTTTACCGCAAGCCTATGCACAGTGACATGTACATTCACTACTTTTCTTATCATGCTTCCTCTGTCAGAAAAGTGTTCTTATCTCCCTCTTTCTCTGTACTCTCTGCATATGGATCCTCAGTTCCTTCAATCTGAAATTTCCACTCTTCATAATTCATTTTCCCATCTTGGCTACCCTTCCCATTTCATTGACTCTGCCTTCTCATGTGCTAAACGTAGTTTCTCTCTCCCCAAACTCCTACTCCTGGGAACTCTTCTGTCCTCTGCCTTCTCTACATTTCCGTCTTTCTAATCTCAACAACTCTCTCCATTCCTTAGACATCAAACTTACTTCTGCCAGACTAACACTCTTCACACTAATCTTGTTCATACCTCTCCTCCCTCTACAGATGCTCCTGGTGTCTACTCTATTTCTTGTTCCTCCTGTCCTCTTCAATACTTTGGAGAAACTGGTCGATCTCTTTCTGACAGACTTAGGGAGCACAAAAATAGTGTTAGGCTTGCCGACACTAACAATGCTCTTTTCTGTCACGTCAGAGATCACAGCCAGCGTATTGACTAATCTTCTGCTAAAACTGTCTTCCCTACTTCCAACTTTAACAGTCGCCGTCTGGTTGAATCCTCCCTAATACACAATTTTCCTTGCATGAATCTTAGTCCTGGCTTCATCTCTGTAGATGCCTTCCTCTCCCACTACATCGTAAAATGCTCCAAACTTAAGAACACTTGTGACCTAACCTGATTCCTCCTTTTTCTTCTTCTCCCTCTTTCCCTTTTCCTCTTTCCTTTTTCTCCTTTGGGTTGTCTTTCTTCTGCCCTGTGTATTTGTTCCTTTTTATTTATTTATTTCTTTCCCTCCCTCCCTCGGGGTTCTTGCTCTTACCCTCTGTGGGCACCTAGCTCCCTTGCAGTGCTCCTCTTTCTTAGTATTTGACTGGCCCCTCCTACTTGGGTATGGGGTGCATAATAAACATATTAAACTAACTAACCCTCCTACTCTTACCACTTCCCCACTACTACTTCTTCCACCTCTACTACTACCACTACTACTACTACTACCACCACCACCACCACCACCACCACCACCACCTCCTGCCTATATATACCCATCCTTCTCTCCTTTTCGTTAGTGTGACTTTGTAAATGGTCCAAGTCGGACTGATACGTCGTCGTAAGCTCCTCTCCTCTATGTGCAGGTTATTTGTATTGTTCCAGTCATGGTATTGTGCCTTTTTGTTATTTATTCAAAGGTAAATGAATCATAAACACGTTAGTACATGGTTACAATCATGAATAAATTACAGAGTTAAGATCAGTTTAAAAACTTGTGAGAAATTGACAAAAAAATTAATTTTCTTATGTGAAATCAG